GTGTGTGTGTGTGTGTGTGTGTGTGTGTGTGTGTGTGTGTGTGTGTGTGTGTGTGTGTGGCAACCTTCACCATTTGAACTTCTAAATGTATTGAAAGAGGAAGATGAGAGGGGCAGAATAAAGAGGGAAGTGGGGGAGCTGGGGGAGGGGATGGGGGTCAAACCAAAAGGGGAGTGGAGTGAAGGAGAGGGGAGAGTGGCTATTTCATTATAAAGCCGTCACTCACACAGGCAGCAGCCAACACACACACTCTACTGGGACCGAGCCCATGTGTGTGTGTGTGTGTGTGTGTGTGTGTGTGTGTGTGTGTGTGTGTGTGTGTGTGTGCGTGCGTGTGTGCGTGCGCGTGCGTGCGTGCGTGCGTGCGTGCGTGTGCGTGTGCGTGTGCGTGTGTGCATATATACTCATTCATGCCTGTGCGTCCTTCCATGTACAAGTTCTGACATGGGAACTATTTTTGTGTGTGCATGTACGTTTGTCTGTCTGTGTGTGTGTGTGTGTGTGCATGTGTGTGTGTGTGTGCGTGTGTGTGTGTGTGTGTGTGTGTGTGTGTGTGTGTGTGTGTGTGTGTGTGTGTGTGTGTGTGTGTGTGCGTCTATGCTGTGAGCATCACAGTGTGAAAGAGATGGATGTAACACACATGTCTCTCTACCAACCAGATGAAAGGGGCGGGTCCCCCTCTGAAGGTCAGAACTTGTCCTCCAATGATAATCCAGTAGGAAAGGTGTGTGTGTGTGTGTGTGTGTGCGTGTGTATTTTTTGTGCGTGCACTGCTGTGTTAAACAAGAGGAAAGACAGAAAAGCCAGGACAAGTTTATCTTTGATTTATTTACTCTTCCCCACATGTGTTGGTGTATTAATGGACGGGCCTATTTGTATGCATGTGTCTTTTATGTGTGCATGTGTGTGTCGCCCAGTGCGTGATGAGGTGTTTATATGATAAACACAAGGCAAGCTTGAGAGGAATTCTGATCAGGGGCTTTGCAACAGTTGTTATGGAAACAGCATTAAGCAGTTGTATTAGCCAGTGGAGGTAATATAAAGGCTGTTGAAAGTACCACACAGCAGGGAGTTAGGCAGTTTGGGAATATAATACAAACTACACATTATTGCTCTGGTTTGCAATTGACTTGCTGGAATATTTAATGTCTGGTTAGAACAAAACAAAATTGCTCAACTCGTTGTTAAGCTGTGTTTGTGTTGAGAGCCGAACATTTTAATTAGCCGGGTTATGAGAACAAACAAGACATTATTTGTCTGCTTTACAACAGGTGTGACATTTACATCAGCTTGAAGCCAAGCACAACTAACTCTTTATCGTCGGCCATCATTATTTCACAGTCCTGTTAAAAGCAGTCATTGATCCATGACATTGGGGATTTTAGAGGTCAACTCAGGGACTGAGATACCGGCCCTGTCACATTTTTTTTTTCAACAACCATGGATAATAACATGCTCACAGGCGGCTCTCTTTACTCATGCATTATTGATCATTATTGTTCAAATCGAATTGTGCAACAATATAGGTTTAGCATATGATTGTTAATCTGAATTTAAATGATGAGCCTTTGTTTAAAAATAGAGCATGATCAATAAAAATGTGGGCAGAACGAACGGCTTGGTTTAGTGCATGGCCGATTAAAAATAATAGTACTCTGCGAAAACATAAAGAAATAAAAACAGGAGGCACTTTTGGATTGAGTGTCTATCAAAGTCAGACACTGACGGAGCTGTTCTGGGAAAAGAGAGGTGGAGGTGCTCAGAAACAAATTACAGCATCAGCAGACCTCCCCAGATAATGCTAATGCAGTCCTTTCGCCCATATATATAGATATATATATAGAGATATCTATATATCTCTATATATATGTAGACAAGAGTCTCTATACGCTTGAGGAGGAAGGCAGATTCTGTAGTTGAATAGGACACTTGAGTTTGCCACCTCACTGTACCCCCCAAAAATTAAGTGTTCAATGCCAAATGACTTCTGTAGTGAGACCCAAAGGCAGCCATCATTGCACACACTGCGAATGGATGTGACAGTTCCAGTTTACAGACAACTCTGTTTCCCCCCCAGATCTCTGTCGGGGTGATGCTCATCATTAGACTTCAGACGTGCATACACACACACATACACACACACATACACACACACACACACACACACACACACACACACACACACACACACACACACACACACATGCACACACACACACACACACACACACACACACACACACACACATGCACACACATACACACACACTGTCAGACACACACTAGCCTTTGGCAAGACCCTATAACGGAATCTCCCTAGGGAAAGCTCCTGGATAAGTCTGTTTTGCGGTGTAGGCGACCCCTCCCCACCTCCCCCTCCCTCCTCTGGAAGTCCCTGAGGGCCTGTGTGTGTGTGTGTGTGTGTGTGTGTGTGTGTGTGTGTGTGTGTGTCTGTGTGTGTGTGTGTGTCTGTGTGTGTGTGTGTGTGTATGCATATTTGTGTGCATATGTGTCTGTCTGTCTGTCTGCCCTTCTGTACATGCCACCAGTTTCTTGGAGGGAGATGGTCTCAGTGAAGCGTGAGTGGGAGGCTGATTTCCCCAAACTGCATCACTCGCTCCAATCTAACTTCCCACTCATGCGCTCGGCTTTGTTAGATGTTTCTTAAGTAACTCGCCCTCTTCCTCACTACCTCTTTCACACAGGCACAGACAGACAGACAGACAGGCAGGCAGACAGGAAGAGGTGTGTTGGGAAAAAGTGTGTCTGTGTCAGTGCGTTCAGCCGGGCCTGTCTGAATGGATTATTACGTAGACTCACACAGACATGCAGAATGTCTGTGTTTCTAGAGTAGATCCCCGGAGAAGGACACTTGTCCCTGTCGCTGTCTGGCACTGCTATGCTTACACACACACACATACCCACACACTAAAACAGTATTCCTGAAGGGTCAGTGTGTCGCCAGGCATGCTCAAAGCGCTCCATCACTGCTTTCCACCGGGACAATAACTGTGACTTCCTGAGGATCGACCTTCACCATCTCACTTCTGTCACTCTTCACATGGGCGTCTGTGTGTGTGAGGGAGTGAGCAGCAGTGTGTGTCTGTGCTGAGGGGGAATATGTGTGCGTGTGTGTGTGCGTAGGGGTGGGGGTGGGGGGAGGGGGGGGGTGTTTTAGAGTGTGTCAGGCTGCCATTTCAGCTGACTCTTCTGTTTCTGGCTTTTTAATGGCTCTTATGGGGCAGGCCTTTAATTGCAAGTCTCTCTCCCTCCCTTCTTAATCCTCCCATCCTTCTGTCTCTCCCAGCCCCTTGGTCTCCTCTCTGCGTCTCCTCTCTCCTCCCCGCCTCCCCGCCTCCCCGCCTCCCACCGGCTGACAGTCACTAGGGGAGCCCAAGTACCTGGCTGGGGCGGTGGAGGCCGTATAGGATATTGACTTGCTGCAGAGTGGTTTGGGAGGAGGAGAGGTGGCTGCCTGTCACAGCTAATGAATAGATGCATAAGTGAATGAGGCACTACTTGTTCCTTGTGTGTGTGTGTTTGTGTGCGTGCGTGCATGCTTGCGTGCTTGTGTGTTGTTTTGGTGTCCCCAGCTATGGCTTAAACGTTTTATGCGCCTAAGCCAGACAGACATTAACAAGTGGCCAGCTTGATACTGATAATTATTAAGGGTGTGATGACAGTACCTCCCACAACACAGGCACATTTATATGTAAACACATTAAATGCAGAGCCAGGCAGTGGGATGGGGGGGGGGGGGGGTTGGGACTTGACTATCGAATGGAGGACACTAAAAAAAACAAAAAAAACAATCCAGTTAAGTGCCAGCACCCTCCAGCTGCTCTCCCCGTTTTCGTCTCTCCCTGCCTTTCTTCCCCTCTCCCTGTCTCGTCCGATCGGTTTTGGAGCTACAGTGCTCTCATGCCAAAGAGGGACGAATACCTAAACACACACACACACACACACACACACACACACACACACACACACATGTACACAGAGAGAAAGACAGAGAGTGAGAGAGGAGGACTGGAGAGAAGGCTGTTGATCAGAGGGGCAGATGAAGGAGTACTGGAGTGTTGATGTCTTCTTTACTGTTGCTTTTGTGGCACATTTCAAACACTGATTGCCTTAAGAGGACAATTTACATTTCATAGTCTTTCACGACAAGTGGGTGAGATGGGAGATGGAGGGGAGGGAGAGAATGAAGTTTCAAGGAGGAAGCCAGGGGTGAGAGTGCTCAGTAAGCAAAGTGGGGAAAGGCGCTGTTGCGTGAGAAACTAAAAAAGCAGCAGGTATAAACAATTGTTTCTTTTCGGGCTGCATCTCTGTTTGTGTCTCTGTGTGTTTGGACATTTTGTTTTTCCATTGCTTTCGTAAGAATGCACCTGTATGATTTGAACTTTCTTATTGGATTCATGTGGGTGTGGAGGAAGAATAGAAATAGTGTGGAGAGGAGAGCCAAGGAGATGAAAAGGGAGCCAGAGGAATTAAGAATCAAGTTAGGAGCCGGCTTTATCTGAAGAGAAACTGTGAAACTGCAAAAGTACAAGAAAACTTTTCCTATCAGCCAACTCTCTCAGCAAGTGTTTGGGTCTGCACCCCCACTGTGCTTGTGTGTGTGTGTGTGTGTGTGTGTGTGTGTGTGTGTATGTGTGTTTATGTGGCATGTGTCTGTGTATTGTTGAGATAGCTTTTCCTCCCCAGTGGAGAGAGACATCGGTGTGTCGGTGAGCGTGATTGGCTGTTGGCCCCTCAGGGTCTGTCCTCTGTATCTGCCCCCATGACTGGCTGCTCTGTGACCAATCAGGCGCCAGGACCTCACTGTGGCAATCAGATAGTGACACGCTCTCCGTGGGCATCAGTAGGTCATCTGGAAATACCTGTTATGTTTTATCTGCTAGCGACTCACACAAACACTCATGCACACACACACACACACACACACACACACACACACACACCGATATAACCTTTCTGTCTTGTCTTTGTCTCTCCAGGAGATTGCTGCATATCTCATCACTTTTGAGAAACATGATGAGTGGCTGACGACATCGCCAAAAACCAGGTGAGGAGATTGCAAGATAGTGGTTTCATCTCACGCACAAACATGGCATTCCTCAATCAGCCAGTGAGTCACGTTGATTTAATTTCAATGACTGAGTGTCCGTGTTTGATTAAAACATTAGCGATGTACTTTCGACTACATCTCTGAGGGCTCCCACTGATGGCCTGCTCCACATGTAGAGAGCGCTACAGAATATGGCCGGACTGTAAAGCACCTAGTCAGCTGGAAATGGAGTAATAATGAATGTAAATGTATTAGGATAAGTGATGTATAATTCAGATACAGCAGGGTGAGGTGGGGTTTAAAAAAAGGGTGGGGAGGGGGTTTGTGTATATAAAATGGGATGTGAGCAGGGATTTGCATGGCACAGCTGAATATTCATCCTGTCGAATGAACCATAGGTAGCTCTTTTTCATAAATCAAGGAGAGGTTGTAGTCAGGCAGAATAGACATGGAGAAAGAAGAAAAATACAGGCTGATGACAGAGGGCAGCTTAATTTATTGATATATCACCTTATTGACATTTACTTTGGTCAGTGCAGCTGTAGCTGATAGATAGAAGAAGAGTAAAGAAAATTTAAAAAAGTAAAGTAAGTGAAGAGGTCACCTCCTGGCCCTATTTCTGATTACTGAAACCGCTGAAAGCCCGAGGTGATGCCTGTGTGTTCCCATTGTGCCAGCTGAAGGACTCTTCTCAGGAGCAGCCTGAGGCCAGCTGCACGGTTTATGTTGTGGATAGATTTCTCATTGATTGGTTGTGCTGCCGTTAGTCTCGGCCTCCCAGCAGCAGCAGCAGCAGCAGCAGTCATATTGGTGTTATTGAGCAGCAGTTAGATATAATCCCATTTACACATGACACCAGGCACGATTAGAACAGATTACACCTAATCCCATCAGATGGAAAGGAGCTCAGCTAACAGCGCCAGTGATATTTATGTGTGGCTGTGCATCTACGTGGTTGTTGTGTTTTAATCCATATGCGTTTGCACACTTGTGGGGTTTCAATATTATAAGATAACAATCAATGACCTTCATTTCTCCCTTCAGTGAAATACCTCATCAATTCAAAGTAATGACTGTTACCTCCTCTCTCCCTCACTTCTCTGCTCCTCCTCCTCTCCTCCCTTTACCAGACTCACTCACTCGCCCACTCCGTCTCTTTATCTTTGCCGTTCTTTTTCTTTTTTTGCCTTCTCTGTTTTCGCTCTGCTACACGGTGTAACGGTGGAAAAGCTTTTTATATCCCACACATCAGAGCCCAGTTACAATCAATAGCATTTATGTCTGCTTAAATCGGAGGGTTTGTGAGGAACATGGGCATCATCCATGTGCGCGCACACACACACACACACACACACACACACACACACACACACACACACACACACACACACACACACACACACATATTAACAAACATGCACGTATTTCCCATCCACCCACACACACACACACACACACACACATAGGCACACATCTGATCTCATCCATCTTCTCCATAACATAATTAGAATCAGCAGCTCCAAGATGACTCACACTGCTCGAGACAGAGACTAAACTCGGCTTTGATCGGAGGGTGGGGGTCTCCACTCCGCTAAGAAACTGGCAGGCTCACCCCAAAACAGAGCAGATTTCAGGTGTCAAAGAAAATCAGCTCAAAGCAAATTCAATTTCACTACATAGTGTTCTGCGTAGATTGCAATCATCTTAGTCCATATAGATCGGTCTACATCAAATTCCTTCAAGAGAGGAGAGGAGAGGAGAGGAGACTCAGCAGAGGAGGAGAGGAGAGGAGAGGAGAGGAGAGGAGAGGAGAGGAGAGGAGAGGAGGGGAGGAGAGGACAGGAGAGGAGAGGAGAGGAGGAGGAGAGGACAGGAGAGGAGAGGAGAGGAGGGGAGGAGAGGACAGGAGAGGAGAGGAAGGAGAGGAGAGGAGAGGAGGAGGAGAGGAGGAGGAGAAGAGAGGAGAGGAGGGGAGGAGAGGAGAGGACAGGAGAGGAGAGGAAGGAGAGGAGAGGAGGAGGAGAGGAGGACAGGAGAGGAGAAGAGAAGAGAAGAGAAGAGAGGAGAGGAGAGGAGAGGAGAGGAGAGGAGACTCAATAAAAGAGCAGAAACAGAGGTTGGGATGGGAGATAAAAGAAATAAATGAGATGAGATTAAGAGTAAGAGTAAATAAGTGAAGAATGAAGGGACTGAAGCAGCAATAAATAGAAAATGAAGAGAGACTATGATAAGAGGGATAAAGACTGCAGGTTGATGGAGAAGAGAAGGGCAGAGAAAAGAGAGTTGAGGTGTGTAAATGTGCGTGTGGTCTTGTGTGTGTGTGTGTGTGAGGGAGAGAGCACTTGTGAGTATGTGTCAGTTTATTGATTGGTAACGTGCCTGCTCTCTTTCTGTTGTCATGAGATAAGGCAGAGAAGATTTTTTTTCTCCGCCTACACATGCACACACACACACACACAAACACACACACCTGCCCTTAACGTTTTAGAAGTGTAATGATTGATTGCTGAGCAGCAGGTTTGACATTGAGCCTGAAGAACACACGGCAGTAGGTCCTGCCTTGTCTGATATCACTATAGCATCTCTGTGTTTTTACATGTATGGTGTGTGTGTGTGTGTGTGTGTGTGTGTTTGTGAGCACACATCCCACCAGGTGTAAATAGAAAAGAAGCTTAGAGGCCAATGTTCCTGCTGTGCTGATAAATCACCCTGGTAAAATATTAACATGTAGGAGTGTTAGTCTACATATGAGAGGGGAGGGGCAGTAAACTTGGCTGTGGCAGAAAAACATTGATGCAACCATGTAAACCAAGAGCATGTTTTTTTAAGTTGGAATTTCAGAATCAGCAATGCAGAAATAATTTATTACTGGTCAGGTTCCACGGAGTTGAATCTTCACTTTTTTAAGAGTTTACTGATCTACACATCATTCATCATGCATGTCGGTCTTTCTGCTTTCTTCCATCAGGCCCCAGAATGGCTCCATGATCCTCTACAACCGTAAAAAGGTGAAATACAGAAAAGATGGCTACTGCTGGAAGAAAAGGAAAGACGGGAAGACCACCCGAGAGGATCATATGAAGCTCAAAGTCCAGGGAGTAGAGGTGAGAGTCTGCAGCAGGAAAAACAAGTCGATGAACAAGCTTGGAGCTGCATATGGTTTCACTTCCAATCCTGTCCGTAACTTACTCTCCTCCACTCCGAGCAGACACATAAGTGGAACACAAATGTTCACACAAACACACACATGCTGAACTGAATGTGTTTCCTGAGAGCGAGTGCTGCCCCTCTCTCTTCACCTCCCTCCCTGCTCGTGTCCCTGTCTCCCTCTCTCTCTCTGCCTAGCTCACTCTCTTTCTGAAGGATAAGAGTGTGTTTGGCCCAAGGCCAGGAATGATGTCAATGCCTCCTTCAGCAGAACAGAGAGGGGTATCGATCCAGTCTCAAGGCAGCGTCTGTGCATGTGTGTGTGTGTGTGTGTGTGTGTGTGTGTGTGTGTGTGTGTGTGTGTGTGTGTGTGTGTGTGTGTGTGTGTGTGTGTGTGTGTGTGTGTGTTTGTGTATTTGAGTCACATCAGCTAGCTCAAAAATTGATTATTCAGCAGGAATATACCAAGAGGTGAGAGGAGGGAGCATGCATGTGTCAGAAACAAATAAAATGAGGTAGAAGGGAAAGTGAAGGAAGGACGGCAAGGAGGCATATGGATGTGTGCAGAGGGGCAGATCATTTTGCATTAAAGGTGAGCAGGAGATGGGGCGAAACAGACACAGAGGCAGAGAGAATAATTGAGATCAAGTATTCCCATCTGCACCTTTATTATTCACAAGCTCACACTCACACAGACGTTCATCGCACATGCAATAATTCTGCAATCATGGATGGATGCACATACCCACACACACACATATGTATATACAAAGGAGAGGGTTTCCTCTTCCTGGTAGTTGCTCAGTAATTGTTTGTGTCACATCTTCCCAGGACCCCCTTAAGCAAGCGAGCGAGCAGTGTGTAGAGCAGGGGACGGGAATGAGGGAAGAAGCGGAGCGGTGAGATGAACAGAGGGTGAGGCAGGAAGCAGGAGAGAAAAACATAACCCTGGATAGAGAGGCTCCTCATATTGAATGGAAATATATGGAAATGCACTCTGCCTTTGGCAAAGCACACTTTAGATAGAGGGCGGGCTACTTCTTAGAAGAGGCAAAATGGCGAGAAATTACAAGTGTATACCAGAAAGAAAGCAGGAGGTGTAAGCTTTGATTATATACTGCCATGTTGCTGAGAGTTTGTGTTTTCTGCGTGCAATTTTGTCATTATGCAGCGTGTCTTTGTTTGTGCATGTGTGTTGATTTCAGAGCTTGTGAAGACGAGGCATTGACCTTGATAGCAGGCGTTTCTGTCATCACTTAACCCTTCCTGTGTCAAACACAACAAACACATACTTTATTATAAGACTGTAAGGTGTATTTAACCACAATAAGTATCAACAAAAATGTTTTCCATTAAACACAAATCACCAAAATCTGTCACGACATCTGTCACAGAATATTTATTGTGTTTACTTTCGTCAATCAGATATCTTCATGTCCAAACCAGAATATTTCTAATTTAAGAAATAAGTTCTGGAGCTGTTTTATTTGCATTTCATATACAGTACATTCAATGAGTTTGTTAAGCTTACATTTTTTAACTTTGAAAAAAATGTTTTGCAGCCAAAAAACTTTAGTCCTTAAAGGCTTTATATGTGATTTTTCACACTTAAATGTAATAGAAATCAAGTATATCCTCTGAAAATAACTCTGTGAGTCATGACTGTCTACAATGGGTGTAACACCCGAGTCCCACTGTCTGTGATGTTTTCAGAGTTTTCAGAGTCCTATCTTCACTTTGTTTACAACGCCCGGACGGCCGACTGACTCCTCCCCTCACGTATAAAAGTTGTTTAATTGAGGGACTAGAGAAAAGAAGAATAACATACTGTACTCACTGCTTAACTGTGTTTCTAGATCACGCTCATTTCAGGTAAATTTACATGCAGTGTGAAGATACGAGCATAATAAAGATCGCTAGCATTAGCATGCTAACACAACAATGCAGCGCGAGTTGTTTTGGTTTCATGCTGGTGCTCAAGGGCGACATCTGCTGGATCAAAAAATAAAGCCTTTAACACAAGGTGTCAAGATTTGGTTCTGGTATGGTTCAGAAACATAGGTACTTTAATGCATCATACAAGACATTGTCTCTGTCTCCTGCCCAGGGACTACTGACATAAATTAGCTTATAGCTAACTCTGGTCGAGTACACTGTCCCTTTCAAAATCACCAAATAGAATATGACAAGTATACACATCTCATTATAGACTAAATGTGATAGACACTCTGAAGTTGTTTCCATCTGTAAATCGACCTCTGCAACCATTTTTAGGCGTCTACATCCACACTTGCATACACATAGTTAAAACTATTTTGTATGTATCTAAGCACCTCCTGGTGGATGGAGTCTTCCTCTTTTTCTTGTCTACCTCCCACTCCACTTTCACTCTGTATTTGTCCTGCTTTCTCCTCTTCTTTTTTAGCCCTTTCCACTGTTACTGATCTCTCTTAGAGTGTCTGTAAGCTGACAACATTGTGACTTTTCATGAATTCCAAGTGGCTTGAGTCTAGTCTTGCTGAGGCAGTAAATTTCACAATCTCTTGCGCTGTAATTGTCAACACCAGATTTATGGTAGTTTTGAGACATTAAGAAAAAAGACGCATATTGCACATATTCAATTTTACTGCATTTTTTAAAAACACATTAGCAAATACGACCTTAGTCTCTATAACCTACGTTTTTCCTCTCCTGTTATCTCATTTATTGTCCTCTCCTCCTCTTCTCTTTTTCACTTTTTGTCTTGCTTCCCTCCTTTTCTTTTCCCCGTTGACCCCCGGCAATCTCCTCTCCTTTCCTCTCCTCTCTCTAGTGTCTGTATGGCTGCTACGTCCACTCCTCCATCATCCCCACCTTCCATCGTAGATGCTATTGGCTGCTGCAGGTAAGCCCACCCCCCTTCCCCATCCTTCCTTTTTTTTCCCAAGTTTATTCAATTACAAAACACAAGGATTTGTAGAGCTTTTATTTTTTATTTACAGTTGAATATTTGTTAGTTACAACATCATGGTTTCCACATTAAGCCATACTGCGAGGAAATGTGTTTTATATTATCTGCTTTGTCTTTTATTCTTTCCGTTAAATTGTATTTTCCAACAGAAAACTAACCAAAAGTTGACTGTAACTTCTTGGGTACAGCACACTATAGAACCATGACTTACAGAGAGCATCAAGGACTCAGGCTCTGCTCTCTATGTGGTCCTTTCCCAGAAAAACACCCTGGGGCTACAAACAATACACACCAACACACTCATGCACAGGTGTCCCATGTGTATAAAAGCATGTTGTTTTTCATAGAGCTGTTGGATTCACTCTATTGCTCTGGTGAAATATGCCAGAGAGTAGCTCTCACACACACACACACACACACACACACACACACACACACACACATCCCTCACTCTTTTTTTCACCATGCAAGAGCTGGCCACCAGGACAGCATCATCTGCAGACGACAGGTTACATGATGAATCTTAACAAATGTGCATATATTCACACTACCTCTCTCTTTTCAACTCTGTTCATTTCAAAGCAAATATTGAAAACCAAGCAATGTTCATTTCATTTCAAGTAGGGAAATGCATACATATTAATATATTCCTCACCAGGATTTTCCTGCATAATTTGTCACATTGAATTTACAAGGACATTCCAGCCATCGGCCATAAATTGAATTTGCCCAAACCACATAAATTTACTTTTGCCACAATCCTCTTCCAGTTAGACTCGTGCAGTCTGAAAATTATAAAAGGGAATTCTGCTTGTTTTTATCTGAGGTAATGCAATTTTCTGCTCTTTGCGCAAATATCAAAACACATCAGTGAATATGATCATAAATCAGTGTGTGAGTGCTGTTGCATGGCACAGTGTGGTGCTGTAGAAGCCCACTGTGCCATCCTCTTTTGGAAAGAATAGTGTTCCACCTCAGCAGGTCCTCCCCCTCACCTGAGTCCGTCTACTGAATCTTTCATCAAGAGGAGCTTCTCTCTCTCTCTCTCTCTCTCTCTCTCTCTCTCTCTCTCTCGATTTCTCTCGTGTTTGCACACACACACACACACACACACACAGATGTATGTGAACGCACCAGTTGAATCATTCATAGGGTGGAAATTCCATAGGTCCACTGGTGGCCTACAGTATAGTGAGAACCACCCGGAGACCACTCTCTCTATCTCTCTCTCTCTGTCTCTCTCTCTCTCTCTCTCTCTCTCTCTCTATGTCCATCACACACACAAACACACATGCAGACTCTCCCACAGGCCTCTGCAGGGTCAGAGAGAGTGATGAGTGGGCTTGAGCTGTTAAATCTTTTATGGGCAGGTGAGGGAATCTTAGCCGACACGCTATGTCTGACCTCCCCCCCTGACCTCCACGTTCCCTCCCGCTTTCCTTCTCCATTTCCCCTCCTCTCTTCTCCCTCGCTCTGTAAAATAGACTCATCACTTTATTCTCTTTCTCCCTCATGCTGGGAGAACATGACAATAAATGAATGAAGAATGTTTAACTGATGCCATGTCAATGCATGTCTGTGTGTTTTCCTGTGCTGTAGAATCCAGACATCGTGCTGGTGCACTACCTGAATGTACCAGCAGTGGACGATAGCGGGAAGCCATGTGGTCCTGTCCTCTGCTCCATCAACACAGACAGGAAGGAGTGGGCCAAGTGGAGCAAGGAGGAGCTCATTGGACAACTCAAACCCATGTGTGAGTTAGAGTAACTGTCATTTGAGCACTCACCTTCCTCCTACACTCCAGCGCTCATGTTCCAGCCCTCACACTTTTCCTAAACCTGGGGCTGTGAGTCACCTTGGGTCCATAACAATACCTCTTGTCGTGGTGCAGTAATGATGAAAAGTATGATGACGTACCCTCGCCAAGCTACAAGATTATTATGTGTGAAACTAGTGTAGTAAAAATAAAGCTGATAATGTAGTTCATTGGCTTTCTTGTAGGTTTTGTAAACAACTTGGCTGCAGAATGGGGCGCAGTCTGGAGCTCATCAGGTGAGACAACAAAATCAGCAGTTCAAAAATAGATGATATGAAACATTCTCTCTAGTAGTAAAGAAAAATATATATGATCCTGGTGTGTTAATTATTTAGAAAAAAAAGCGTTATTTAGATATCACTCATTGTAATTTTAAATCTTAACTCTTAAATATGACACTGGACTGCTAAAAGGTGTGCTCAGACATCAAGATTGTGACCGTGTTTCTATCTCAATTTTGTTTTAATAAATTTGATAGATTTAGATTTGGTTCACATTTTCCCTCTTGTTCAATCAAACAAATCATCACAATTTAATAATATCTCTAATGACAACTTTGTTCTTCAATGTTCTCCAATGAAAAGATATTCAATACATGCACACCATTCAGACAAGATTGTTTTAGTTTTTTATTTAATTCATCTGTCAGCGCCATGCTGCCACCTAGAGGCAGAAACACATTTCACCCGAGAAACGGAGGAACAGAAAGAAAGACAGAGGTGCCTGAAATATCCAGCATGTATTATTCATAAATGAGCATCAGGGAGTAGATAACTGAAGTACACTCACTGATACACATGTGAAAAACACACACACACACACACACACACACACACACACACACACACACACACACACACACACACACACACACAGAGACACAGAGACACACAGACTCAAGCACTCTTTCCCAATCTCCCCCATCCTTACCCTTCTTTTGATCTGGTTCAGAAGTGCATCTAAGGACAGCTGCCCAAAACTAAGTGCTTGTTTGGCTGAAGTAGTACCTTGCCTTGCCACACACACACGCGCACACACACACACACACACACACACACACACACACACACACACACACACACACAATCGTTTTCCCTTTGCTTTTCTACCTGCCCTATTTTGCTCACATAAGCAGAGTCTGTTTTTTTCTTTCCTAGCACTTCTCTAAATCATTTACCTAATCACTCTATGGTCATTCTGAGCCATTTATGGCAATGTGTCTCTTACACTTATTTGTATTTTACTAAACATTTATTTGAGAAATCGCCTGAACATGAAGACATCTAATTTAAAGAGTGCAGACTCCCTCAGATGTTATTAAAGTGTGTAGCAAGAAAAGCATATTCAGCTATTTTGATATGTCTAAGATTTGTATCATTTCAACTGTGTTTGAGATTTTAAATGATTCAAGGTTCAGCGCACCTTGTGAACACTAGAGGGCACCATTACCCATTGTCTAATGTATTTATGTGGAGTAAATGACTGACCTGATCAGATCAAAGGATAGAAAGTGAAGACATTATGCATCTAAAATCTGTTGTCTCCTTTGTTTCTTCTGTCAGGTGCTGGAAGCAGTCTGCATCAGAAATGTTCCAGTGTCAAGCAGCGCATCATCTCATCCAAGCAGGAGTCAGGGGCAGCACCTGGAGGTGGAGCAGCAGTGGGCACAGGCGTTGCGGCGGCCCAAAGACTTGAGGAAGCAGATGGCACAGAAGTCCAGAATAGCGACGTGTCAGAAGGCCAGACGGAGCCCAGTCCTGGAGGAGGCAGGAGCAGAGCGGGCGGAGGAGGAGAGAGGAGGAATGGCAGGATAACTAAACCCTCCCTCCTCCCACAGAGCAGCATGGAAGTGTCCTCGTCCACCTCCACAAACCAGGTGGAGGTCCCTGACACGACCCAGAGCTCCCCATTGTCAATCACCAGCGATATGGCCGACAGCCCCGCCCTCGCCATCGGGGCCAGCTTGTCACAGAGCACAGCGGTGTTCATGTCTGAGGTCACCACGCTGACCGGGGATTCGGTTTACTCCGCTGGCCACACCCACCTGCTGGCATCCACTCATGAGAGCACCACCACTGGCATCCTGTTGGCTGTTCCCCCTGAAAACCAGAGGTTCGCTTCATTTCCTGGAGGGGTGGGATTAGGGGAGGGAGGAGAGTTGGTTCTGTCCAGCTCTCTGGACTCCAGTGGAGTCGGCATATCTGAGACCACAATGACGTTCGACCCCGACTGCTTCCTCAATAATCCCAAGCAGGGTCAGACGTACGGAGGGGGCGGGGGGAAGACTGAGGGGTGTAACGGTGACGATGGAGGACTCCACTGTTCCTCTAATGGCTTTGTCTACAACCAGACCCTCGTCAACAACATCAAGACAGAAGCTACGTCCCTGGAGCAGCCGCTGTCCGCTCAAAGCAGCTACGTAGGAGAAGGGACAGGCCTCAGCCCCAGCACCACCCTAGAGCAGATGGACTTTAGTGCTGTGATGTCATCAGCCTGCGTCCCAAGCCTGAGCCAGTCTGCACACCACCCCTCACAGAGCCTCTTCCTCCAGACCTCCCCCCAGACAAGCGAACCCTCCCAGCTGCAGACCAACAGTGCTGAGGCAACCCAGGAATCAGGCGAGGCTCAGGCTTTCATAGGCCTACCCACAGTGCCAACAGACTCTCCAGTATCCAACGGTGACCCGCATACACACCTCCACCAAGCCAGCTCAGACCAGCAAGGCCTGTGTGTAAGGAATGGACAAGGAGGGGCGGTGGGCTCCTTTCCCCTGATGCCACAGGAAACAACTACCAACCAATTGGGCGGTAGGAGAAATCGGGAGGTCGGGGTCTTAGACAAGGCTTCTGAGAATGGAGGGGAGTTACCAATCAAGCCTGGAGACCCTCATGAGGCCTACACGAGTGTGGACACAGAGCACTACTTGCAACCCACAGATGAAAATGGAGGTGGAGAGGGGAACGGGGGAGGTGGTGGAGGGGGAGAAGGAGGGGGAAATGAAATTCTCTGTAATGGTGTGAGCTTGTCAGGGGCCAGCAGTTCAGTGGTGGCCAGTCCTCAGTCTATATCTGCAAGTGGAGGTATTGAGGGGCCACTCTATAGCTCCCCTCTCCCTCAGCAGGGTGGGGGGGTGTCCGCGACAGCAACTGGGGCAGGAGCAGCCATCAGTCTGGAGGGCTTCGAGGCTTCTTTTGGAAGCCAGTTCTCTGATCTCATCAATGATTTCATCTCGGTCGAGGGCTCCGGAGGCGGGGTTGGGGCTGCAGTCACTGGGGTTCTGATGCCCCAGGAGGGGGCAGCGGGAGAAGAGCAGGGCACAGGAGCGGGCCACCTGCAGAGCTCAGAGGTGGAGCAGGGAGCTCTGGGACTGCTGCAGGAGACTGGGAGACTGTTTGGTGTAACAGACTACTCCCCAGAGTGGTCTTATCCAGAGGTTAGTAAACCCAACGTGATTATTGTTCATTATTTATTCATCGTTGTTCCCTTCAAGAAAAAAAAGAATCAGTGCCTCTACCAGTGCTGTGATTGACGGTGGCTTGTACTGATGCTAAACGCACAATTTGTAGTAAGGCCCGCCAGCCCGGCTGTATGGTCATTAAGGAGTTAGAATATCTCACACTCAGCTGATTGGATTTTGATGAAATTTCAATAATACACTTATTCCCTTAGGTGGCTTCATTCATTTACCCATGTACCACTTATAATATCACACACAACAGTTTTGTCAAAGCATAGGGTTGAAATGTGTAGACTCATAGCATCTTGCATACATTTTTTAATCCAAATTAAATGTTTAACTGTGTCAACATTTAGTGCAAAAAAACTTTGGAAGCTAAATGCATCTTTTAGAATTGCACATAATCAGCTCATATTTTGCTGTAACTTTCTTCCACAATTGTCAGTGTTGCATCACACTGGCTATTTAAAAGTTTTGGGTTTCTTGAAAAAACACATCACAGTTTTTCCTCCAAAGGCCTCAAGCATGATATCATAATATTTAAAATTGGTTAATCAGCAAAAATAAAGGACACCAAAAAAGAAAAAAAAAAAAGCCAAATCCTTTTAATGGCTTTAAATATCACACAGTTTTCATTGTTGTAAACTCATACCTCATGACGCCAACATTTTTAGAGAACAATATGTTGTTTATGTTTTATTTTTAGCTCCACTAGAGACAACATATGCCAGTGTTGTTTGGATGGTTCGAACAGCTTTGTTCTACTTGGATGTACGGAGTAAAACAGCCTCTGGGGGCTGCTACCAGGCCTCATAGCATCATGGATTTCTCATTAACAAAATAATATGCAGTTTGTATGGAGGCATGTTATATCATCTTTCAGTTTAGATTTATATAATGGAAAAACATAAATTTAGGCCACTGTATCTCTGGGGCAAAATCCAGATTTTTAATAGAAGCACATTAACAAGATAGACTGTGTACAAACACAAAAAAAGAACCACTGACTTTCATACATTGTTATATTGCACATTGTGTCTAATAATCACATAGATGCTCATTTCTTTTTGGTCACTTTTATCTGAACCTATGCTCAGAAGCAGTTTCCTGCAGACAAAGTGTGTGATATATGAGTGAAGCCTCTGTTTGTGTGCTGCAGGGTGGAGTGAAGGTTCTGATCACAGGGCCGTGGTTGGAGTCGAGTAGTGAGTACAGCTGTCTCTTTGACCACATCAGTGTCCCTGCTGCCCTCATACAGCCCGGGGTGCTGCGCTGTTACTGTCCAGGTAACACACTTCTTTTACACGAAACACATCCATCATCTAACACAGAAATACACTTTCCTTTATTTTATTATTTAAAACTTTATCTCACTAATCCTTACAATAAACAGATTCTTTCAAAACGCTTTACTCTAGCACACAAAGTGAGTCTAACCCTGCTTTCAGACTGGCTGTGTGATTGCTGTGTGACAGCTCGGTTTTCTTTTCAGTGGGCATGTTAACAAGTCAGAGCTTTCAAAACAGCCGCGCCTGAGCAGTGCGTATCACACGAGTGTCTGATGTGCAGAAAATCTGGAGAATAGTAGTCTTGCCTATTTTTAGCAAGAGCTGTGCGAGGTCCTCAGCAAGAATAGACAGTGAAATGATTTGTGGAGAGCTTTATTGCGCTTGTACAAGCAACATGTCTCTCTACATATAGTTAGAATATTTGACAGGCATGAAAGGGGAAAAGCCCAAGCCAGCTTTTCTGCAGAGAAAGCCCCTTGTTTTACACAATGCTTTATACTGAAGTTGTTCCAGGACAGTAGTTGTTATTCCAGTTACTCTCAAGATAACTTACTGGGTTCCCCACAAAACTTTATTTGGAGTAAAACAAATTCACAAATCGCAGTAGGCTATAAGTATGTTTTTTAATTAATGAAATAACACCAGGTTCAGTGTGATAGGCTGTATTTCTTCTTGTACAAAATATCTGTCTTCCTCGCTCTGTTTTGTCCTCTGCTTGGAGAGTTGTTGCCCTGTATGTAAAGTAAGTACTGGTTAATAATGTAAATAAGTCCCTTTTCTGATAAGCCCAGCCCCTGAAACGTGTATAAAAACACCCGACACAACCTTTGAAAATTGCAGTCTGGAGCGGGCCTGACATCTGCATCTTCATCTGGAGATGTTAGCACATTTATAAAAGAAGATAAATACAATATTAAAATGTACATTGTGAGCAGGCCCACTAAGAGGTTGGCAAACACTGCAGAGTTCTGCTAAGAGATGTGTTTTGGGATGGTATAGATTGATACACGATTCACATCCTGCTAAGTTATCAGGCAGGGTAAACCTGAAAGGCAGAGAGTCTCTTACAGACATAAAGGACAAAAAGCAGGTCAAGACATTCACAGTTCACACGCCGTAATGTGCTGTCCTGGAGTTATTGCTTTGACAGATTTGTCTTGGCTGTCTAATCCATTGCCTGTTGTCTGTTTGCAGCGCACGATACAGGTCTGGTGATGCTGCAGGTAGCTATGGGTGGTGAGGTTATCTCTTCCTCTGTGGTGTTTGAATACAAGGCGCGTGACCTTCCAGCCCTGCCATCCTCTCAGCATGATTGGCTGTCCCTCGATGGTAAGAACACTCGTGAGTCTTTTTTTTTTGAGCACAGTTACACTCTTATTGTCCGGTGTTGTTCACTCAATAAAAAGCATAAACTGTAAAAATAAATGTACTTATACATACTGTATCTGTTTCATTGTGTTGCATGTTTTATGTAAAACTTAAACTGTATTAATATTACTATATACTATATTATCATATTATATACACTTTTTTTTTACCATATATTATTTTCGATTTAACCTACACAGGTTTTACATAAACCAGGCCTTTGACATTATTCATCTAAAACTTCCAGAAATCCTCTTTTGTGTCTGCATGTTGCTGTCATTGTGTTGCCTCTCTATTTGATGCCCTTGCATGCTGTGAGATGTTTTGTCTGAAGCAACAGCACACAGACAAGATTTGTTTTCCTCTCTGCTCGGCTGGAGCTTTTTTTCCTATTTATTCCTCATAGGCCTGTATGCAGATTACTTCAAAAAGTAATCTAATCTGGGAATTTTTGACATACTTAATGTGAAAGGTGTGTGTGAGTGCAAACTGTGCATTTCACCTTCACAGAACTTTTTAATAAGGCAGTCATGTAGTCTATCACACGTGGTCATTGTGAGTGTATGTTGGAGATAAATCAGTTTCAGCTATCAAATTATTTTGTTAGAGGAGTAAAAACGCTCTTGTGAGAGCTCAATGATAGTGAATCAAATTAAAACATAGTGTGCAAGTTGTTAGAGGACAATTGAGTCAACTCTGGGGGATTTGCAAATATCTGCACTGTGCCGCGGGGGTTAGCTTTTGTGTGAAAATAGATCTCCTGATGAAATTGCAGCTCGGAAACACGCGGGTCTCCTCAGCGAGGCATGTCCTGGGTTACTCCGTGTTCGCCCCCGTCTATGCGTTGCGCAATGCGGCAATGCGGCTCTACAGTCACAGCAGGCTGGCTGTTTGCTGGAGTGAAGGGCAAGGACATCGAGGCACAATCGACTTGATCCAGTTGACAGTCGAACTGTTGGGCACCCCTGGCACTGTGCTGCTTCGCGGACGCTATATATAGCCTCGGCTTTGTTTGGCTTTCAACGATGATAGACCTGGATATGTGCCGTTATTATTTTCACTCTGCATCTTAGTGTGGCCTCGAATTAACATCAAAGGCTCATTATTGGAAAAAATAGACGGATATAAACAGTGTTTAGCAAATATACGTCAGCAGCTGTATTTGTCACATGACATTGTTCCAGTTTAGGCTATGTGCTTTCTATTGTTGTGCCGATGACGAGAGAGCATCCCGCAGCTCCGAGTCTGGCGGGCCGATTTGAAGCGTGTCTGCTGCTCTCCCAGACACAACGTGCGCTCTCTCTCTCTCTCTCTCTCTCTCTCGCTCTCTCTCTCTCTCTCTCTCTCTCTCTCTCTCTCTCCTTTCTCTCTCTCTCTCTCTCTCTCTCTCTCTCTCTCTCTGCACTTAGTTGTGTTTTGCTCGCTCGGAGTAGCAATGTGTGAGCCTCCCTCTTCAAACTAACGCGGTTGAGCAGAAGCGGGAACAAAGAGAGCAGCAGATAGAGAGAGACTCGCTGGTTGGGTTCGTAGCTTATTTAATTTTAAAGCGATGATTACTTCAAAACGCGCTTCTTTAAAAGGCTGTTCAGGTCCGTGTTGTTTGGGGCAAGTCGTTCGTTGTCATGCTGCTGTAGATGGATGTGGATATATGCCTGTTGTCTAAATATCGACTTTTACATTTCATGTCTCAGTCAAAGTATGTGCAGGAGCCTACATGTGGTGCACAGTGTGTTTCGAAGGTAGACAAAGGGAAAGGGAGAAAAAGCCACAAGTCCTCGCGTTGGTTGAACTACAAAGCCTACTGGACTCATTCTGCAGACCTGATCACAGTGGCGTGTTGTGTCTTGTGTAACGCGCTGTTCAGTTTCAGCACCACCGGGGGTGGACAGCGCCAATTTACCCATGAACAACAAAATGAAAAGAGGGTAATCAGGATCCTGCAGAGGCCCGGATAATGACAGGCCTTTAAGTGCAGGCATAAATACAATTTAATCAAATATATATGTATGTTTCTATATAATGATGTTTACTACTAAGCTTCATTATATTGACTAGTGACAAAAGTATATCTGAATCATTTTCCAATAAGCATAATCTGCTTTGTTTTGTCACCATGTTGTGGTTTGTAAGTGGTGAGAACCAGTGCATATATTTAAACACATGGATATATTTACCAGGAAATCAAAAGTTTTTATAGCTGGTCAGTTAAGCCACAGGTGCCCAAATAAGTACTCATTAACTTAACTTAACTTAACTTAACTTAACTTAAGCAACCATTAAAACAGGTTTTTTAATGTTCAGTTATAATCCATAATCTTAATTTGTAGCTTTCAATGTAATGTGTGAAAGTAGCAATAGAACCTTTCATCCCCAAACAATAATATAAAATATTTCAATACATGCTAAAGGTATGTTGGAAACATGTTTCTATGTCTTTATACAACAATGGAGAAAACATCTTCATTTTGTGTTTGGCAGCTAAATAGTGTTTTGCTGTGTTCCAAATACTGTGCTCCTCTTCTCACTGGTCGGTGTAGTGGGAGGAGTCAGAGCCTTTGTATCGCTATCCTGCACCTCCTTTCAAGCTCTGTTTGCTTGCTGCTTGTTGCAGACAGCAGTAAGAAAAAATATGAGTGAATGAGAAGCAGAAATTAGAATCTGAATGAGAGAGCAGCAGGTAGGATGACAAAATGTGCACTGCAGCAAAACTGCAGCAGCAGTGAAACAAAGGGTCACATTTACATACAGCCTTGCCATAGTTGCACATTTTCGCATCACACACACACACACACACACACACACACACACACACACACACACACAGGCAAACACATACAATTAACTTGGTTCCAAAGTTCCTATTTATTGAGCTCCTCAAACAAGAGCTTGTCTCTCTAAGCCTCTCTAAGTAGGAAGTACCAAAAACCTAGCCAATGCTTACAGCTCCATGAATCCTGGGTCATTTCTGCAGATACCCAGTTCAGGATGTCCATCCTGGAGCGTCTGGAGCAGATGGAACAGAGGATGGCTGAGATAACCAATCAGAACCCCAGCTCAGAAACCATGGCAACCAAGGGTGGTGGAGCAGAAGGAGGAGGAGCCACAGATCAGAAGTCTCAAGTAAGGCAGAAGGAAGTGATTTAGTTTGGGTGCTTTTTGTTTGAACATTTTTTTAAACATGTTTTAAACAAGACATGGAACAAATTGTTTAGTGTATAAAAATTAAAAGTATCATTCAATGAGATTACATTTGAATGACGCAGGTTTAATGGATAACATTGCTTGAGTTCATCAAACCTTTCAGCATTTTATGAACCCAGACTGAAATACTCACAACAGTAGCCAAATACATACAACATAATACAATCAGGAAAACAACTACCACAACTTCAGATTAAGAGATGTGTTGAATCCCATCTTTTGTATTGTCTGACATAGTTTTCATATAATTGTACAGCCAAAAACACATTATGATAAACTATCCTCTGCTAGTGTTTAATAGCCATTTGTTGATCTTCAATTCCTTCATTTAAAAACAAGGAGAATTTTTGCAATCAATTTTGACAATAATAATTTAAACATGGGAGGTCAATTTCTTTTAATTCCGTCTCCGATCTTCCAGATTGCCCCTGATCAGGGTTCGTTCGAGGGTCGCGTGGTGGTCGTGTGTGAGAAGATGATGTCTCAGCCGTGCTGGGCCACTTCTAATCAGCTCGTCCACAGTAAAAACTCCAGAGGAATGACCTTACTGCATCTGGCTGCAGCTCAGGGCTATGCAGGACTCATTCAGACACTTATTCGCTGGCGGTGAGTAACAAACCATCATTACACAAACTCATGAATGCACAGACCGCGTCAGTTAATTCCACTTTTATGTGTCTGCAGCACAAAGCATGCTGACAGTATTGACCTGGAGCTGGAGGTGGATCCTCTCAACGTGGACCACTTCTCGTGCACTCCACTGGTGAGTGATCTTCTGCATGGTCTTGTGAGTGTATCTGTCTTTTTCCATGCCTGTGTGTGATTTTTTTTCTCCTTTGGTCTTCTCAGATGTGGGCATGTGCTCTAGGGCATACAGAGGCAGCATTGGTGCTTTATCAGTGGGACCCGAGAGCTTTGGCTATTCCTGATTCACTGGGACGCCTGCCGCTCAACATCGCCCGATCTCGGGGCCACACTCGATTGGCCGAGCTCTTGGAGCAGCTGCAACAGAGTCCTCAAGCTCAGGGTCAGCCTGGTGACACTTGGATGGACAGGTGGAGAGGAGAGCCACAGACAAGCGGAATAGGCAACAACCATACCCAAAACGCTAACCCAGGTGTGAAAGCCTGACATGTTCTCTTTCGTCTTCTATGAAAGACATGTTTTTGAACGAAACCTCTCAACTGCTTGCCTGCCAATTTTTCCTGTTGCAGAAATGGTCATGCAGATAATCCCTATTTAAACTAAATTATATTATTTTGGATGTTTATTCACACTAGCAGGCATGATATGATGTATTTATAATAAAACTTTAGAAGTACGTTGTAGTTGGTTTTGTTATCTTTGCACAAAGTGAGGCTAGCTGTTCACCTGTTTTGCAAGTCCGTATACTAATGCTGAGCCACTTCAAGCTGTCAACTTCATCTAAATGTTTACCTGATAGACATGAGACATTGCATCATTCTTCTCCTCTAACTTTAAGCAAGTTTTTGTGTCAAACTTTTACTTAAAATGAAGTTTGAACATTTGAACAGGTCATCATAGTTACTCACAATAATTGGCACACCTCAGTCTAGGCAGTCTGAAATTGAAAAAGTAAAATTATGAAAAATCTCTACTTTATATAAATGTAAATTTGGAATATTACATGTTTGTGTTTGGGCTAAACTGCCCTATACTATGTAAGCACACCAAAGGTGGTAGAACAAATGTTGTAATTTTCCGTTGATTTTCCAGAGCTGAGGAGAGCCAAGCCAGAAAGCCAGCCGGAAAACCAGAGCTGGAGCCAAGCAGGACACAGAGCTCAACAGGGAGAAGAGGGAGCCCGGCCCCCAGCCAAGAGACTCAAACCAAACACAGACACCCAGCAACAGCTTGATAACTCAACCCCTGGCACCCAATCCCTCAACACCCTCCTCAACTCGCCCCCGAGTCATAACCCTCAAGGTCCTCTCCTCCCAAACACCACACAAACTCAAACCTCCAACCGCAGCTGTCAAAACACACCTCCTGCCAGTTCCAGCCATAACCGGTCGCAGCTCCCCAGTGCTCCGTTCTCCCACCTGCAGGCCAGGATAGGGGGGTCTGGAAGGGGCACCAGGTGGAGGCAGACTCTGGGGCAGCGAAGCCTGGCCAGGAGGATTCTAGGAAAAGAACGACTGGCTATTCACCTGCGCCGAAGAGTGTTGTCTGACAGGGGAGAGGAGACAGAGCTGCTGACCTTTCAGGATAATGCAGAGGACCTGCAGGTAAGGGGAGTGAATGTGTGTCTGAGAGATGTTGGGAGAGGTTGTTTTCTTAAAACCATTTGAGGTGTGTCATCAGCATAATAATTCACCTATATGCAGATTATAGATCATTTTTCATTCTAAGGAAAGCAGGTGATAAGAATCTGAGATAACACCTGCTCTGCATGTTTTGCAGATGGACATTACGATGCTAGCTGATCATATCCTGGAAGCCTCAAATGGTCGGCTAAAGCAGGAGGATATGGAGACTGAAACTGACTCCGGAAGGATGAGGATCAGCAGTGATGTCAGATTACTGTCTGGTTTTCTTGCTGAGGTGGAGAGGTGAGGGCTAGGAGCTTCATGAATGTACTAGATTCACTTTACCTTACCTATCAAACAGTGCTTATCATTTTAATTATGAAACTTTTGTTCCTATCTTTTGCTTTGTCAGGTTTCTAAAGTCCAAGTCCCACTCTCCAAGCCCCAAAACAAACTCTCACTCAGGGTCTGAGGATCCGCAAAGTCCTCAGGCTAGACAAGCCCTCCCCTCACCCTTTGACTGGAGCTCCTTCCTCTGTGCAGCTATGGAAGAGGAGAGGTTGAAAAGTGACTCCTCCTGTCTAACCATGACTGAGACCGAACAGGGGGAGCTGTATGAGACCATCAGGCATGCTCTGCACTTTCTAAGAAAACACAAGGTAAACCTAAAGTTCACCGCTTGCACACGTGGAATTAGTTCAAATGACCTCCTCTATATTAGAAATACATGAAATACAATCACTGGAAAACGCTGAAGATGACTATTAGCCATTAATCATATTTTGATGTCTCTGCACTCAGGGTCCCATTCAGGAACAACGCAAAGAGATTGCAGCAGTGATTCAGCGCTGCTATAAGAGATACAAGCAGGTAAGCGTTAGTGACATGCAGCTAGTAGCTGCTATCATGTCAGGATAACCTACATTTAAGTCCGGAGTTACAATTTAATAATCCACAAACAACAGAATGAATGTATGTGATCTCTGAAAGAGCGCTTTTAAGTAACATAAAAAAAACATCATTTAGGTTATTTTGGATTTCTGCTTTATTGTTTATAAGAAGATCATATTAGTAAGCTGAACTCATAATGAACATATCTTAAATAAAACACAAGGCTCAACATTGTTATTCTCCACATGCCATTTTATTAAAGAAATTGAATTATAAAAATGGCTGATGTCCAGATTCAGTTTAATACTTGAGTGAACACATTTTAGTGCTTGTCATAAGGCATCATGGACATGTACGAGTGTGTGAAGCATGTAGATCAGTGTACAAGCTCTTGACCTGTGATCAATCTGTAGTTCAAGGTTTTTGCAGAGGGAAACATGACAGATTCTGAGCACTTCAGAACATAACAGTTATTGCAACAATGGATATATAATTGCTCACATATATCCAGTGGAAGTCCTTCCTTTGTCAGTTAATCTTTGAGTTTATCCAACAAGTGTATCTTATTGTTCTTCGGTTAGTTATTTATCTGTCCAGCCTGTATTTAGGAGTACATTTGGATACATAAATGATTCCACATTGAAAATGTACATTTGTGGCATTCAAAGAGTTTACAACATGCAGTAATATTTACCACATCTGTCTCTTTTCTCAGTATGCACTTTATAAAAGGATGACCCTGGCAGCCATCCTGATCCAGAGCCGTTTCCGGAGTTTCCATGAGCAGAGGAAGTTCCAACAAAGTCGTAGAGCAGCGGTCCTCATCCAGCAATATTACCGCTCCTATAGACACTCCCTCGGGTACTCATAGATGCACACACACACACACACACACACACACACACACACACACACACACACACACACAACACACACACACACACACACACACACACACACACACACACACACACACACTGATTTCTCAAAATTTTGTTTAAAAAAATTCTCACTCCTGTGTCTTTGCTTGCAGCAGCCTCCTAACGAAAAAACAGAACCAGGCTGCTCGAAAGATCCTTAGGTTCCTTCTCCGATGCCGCCACAGGTGAGGCATACAATTTATTCAGTCAACATCAAACACCACTGCACACACACACACACACACATTCAAGGACACAACAATACACATTACACACACACACACTTACAGCCCACTGCCACATGTGCACTCTCTACACTGGTGCTAATAGTTGGTGTTGTTTTACTGTTCCTGTGAAGCCCCTTGATGGACCATAGGCCTCTGAAACGGGTGAGTCTTCTCCCCCTCCCTCTCTCCGGCTGATGCCTGTTTTTGCATGTCAGCGGAGGGAGGGGGGGAAGGAGATCCTGGCTTTTTCATCCTCCCCTCTCTATCCCTCCCTCTCTCCTCTTCCCTCCTTTACTCCCTGTCTCGCTCCCTTTCTCTACCTGAGGTACTGCTGAATGACGTCGGTCCTCGTGCATGATTGACAGATAGATAGAGAAAGGATTCCTGCATATGTTCTTCATGGGGGCATGTTCAGACTTGACATTACTAGAGGACTTTTAAATGTCTTGCTTGGGCTGCCAGTCTCTTTTGTTTTGCCTTGTTGGGTGGGGAGGATAACAAGATGGAGAGAGTGTATGCACTGGGGTGGGATATGCAGGGTATTTGTTAAACAACTTTTACTGTTGCTCCAAGAATTTGCTTTTGTATATAAAATGGAGAAAAATAAAAAAAACATGCAGTTACATCCACAGGCCACACAAATATGTCTCTCTGAGTGTTTATCTTATATTTGTTTGTGCTTTTTCACCAGGGTCAGAGAGCAGAGAAAGGCCAGGGGTCCTGAGAGCCCATCGCCAGGCTCCATACATAGCCCTCTCAGCCTGTGAGCAATCTAAACCCTCCTCTCCTTCATCCTCTCCCTTCTTTCACCTTCCAGAAATCTCCCCTTTTTTCTTTTTTTCCCATTCCCCAGCCCCTTCCCCTAACCTTGCTCTTCCCTCCCCTCCCTTATTTTTTCTCACCCTCTTTCCCCTCTTCTCTCAAGAGGGACAAAAAACTCTTCCCAGACAGACTGAGGACAGGATAGGTGTCCATCATGGCAGCTCAGACAGACAGACTGCTGGGTGGAGCCCAGGGACCTGGCTCCGCCCACAGCACTGATCCTCCTCCACAGTTTCACTGGGAGGCCATCACATTAACCTCATGGCATTCTTTGCACTCTTCATGGGTATGTTTCTTTGCAAGAGAAAGTGGACAAGTCAGACAGAAGAGGAGGCAGAGGAAGCGCCTGACGCCAACATCCTGCCGTTTGTGGCAGCAACCGGATGTGCTGGAAGGCTCAGACGAGGAACAGCTGGCTCAACGTGAAGGCTACTTTGACATGCAGAAAATATACAAAACCTTTTTTTTGAGTTTTGTATCTAGACAGCGATCCATGAAAGAATAAGAAAACATAAACCAAAAAACTCACTTCTATGTTGCATTTGCATGCAAGATTTTTTCGCAAATTCCTCCCCTCCATTATCCCACAGAGCTATAGCGGCGACTCATTCAGCTAATTCAGTATATCACAGTACCACCAACCACTCTGACTCACAGGCTTACAAAACCTATTAATCAGTCACCCGACCAAAAGGGGAGGAACTGCACTTGAATGTAAGAGGGGCATTGTTAGATAAAGGGTGGGGGTCTGAATAACGATGTCTTAATTTGTTACATGGACTTTGTATGGAGTCGTTCGCAGAGGCGGCACTTTGCTCGCCTGCCGTGGTGTGTTCAATGTGTTTGTTCAATTCAATGCATGTGTTTGAGCCACGAGCTCCTGCATGCTTGCCAAACTGCTTTAGTGTTGTTTCTTTTGTATTTCTATGTGTAGTTGTGTCTCACTTACGTCCTCATCAACTTATCCTTGCCCTGTGTAATGTGAACTGTGTAAGGACAAATGTCTTATTTCGGGTGCTTTTTTTAAAACTTTATTTATTTAAGGGTCTGATTATTTATTTAATTGGCTCAAGACTGGGTTAAGCTTGAGACTGGTTTTCCCCCCTTGTGTGGTAAAATATGACATGTTCCAATGGTTAAATGTCTCTGTTAGTTTGTTCTTTGCGTGAACCTCTAAATCCTGACTGTGGATTTGAGGAGAGAGTCACATACCATTGCCTTGACTTCTTCTTGACTCTGAGAGGTCTCTATGCTTGCTCTGTACAGGACATGGGTCCTATACCTGCCCCTATACAGGGCATTGGTCCCCATATTAGCCCATATGGGCAATAAAATCCATATTTTGGACTATTGCATATTCCTGTATATAAACTGACGAGGTAAGGGGATACGAGGACCCTGAAACTTTTTCATAAGAGGACTGTATTTAAGATTATAAATTATTTTACTCCCATAATGAGAACTTAAGACAGAGACCTGGGTACACAGGATGGCTGTATTGCTTGTAAATAATGTAGATATTACAGAGTAATGTGCATGAGATTTAAGACAAAGAAACAGCAAAAAGAACATGTTAGTGGCTATGGACTGTGAGAGGATTTTAACTGCTTCACTTTAAGAGTATCCAGTATAAGTGTTACTGAAAAGAACATTTTGTTCAAGCATGCAACTGAAAAATCTAACGTTAGAAATATAAGTGGGAAAACAAAGTTAGCTGAAACAATGACCTTTCAGACAAAAACATTTACACATTCTGTGCTTTTGTTTCTTGGCTAGCAAAAATTAAACCCTTTTGCCAGTAGTGCCAATTATTATGAATGCTATTTTGCCTAATAATATGTTATGTTGGGTAAACCAACACCCAAAAGATATCAGTAAGATCCACAGAGGCAACACACAGACCATAAACAGTAGACGAGACCTAGAACTAGTTCAAATGTAGACCTACTACAAGTTAAAGGCAGACTTACAGTATGTGTAGACAGTGATACAAGACGTTGATGCAAGTGTGTAAATGATACTAATGGTGATGAGGATGATGAAGGTTATTTTACTATGAATGCAATGAATGATGATCCAAAAAAAAGGGAAGAGGGCGCTACATTCTTGAAAATGTGGTTGTGCTTCAGCAACATCCTAGCTTTTATCAGGACCATTTCTCACACCTACAGCGGATCCAGCCTGGCCTCCAGTCAAAGCTCTCCATCTTCAAACAGAATGTCTCCTCCACACTTTCTACATATCAGTTGATCCTTCTTTCCTTCTCATTGTCACTGCCATTACTGTACGACGTGTACTTCTGGAAAGCTCTGTTTAGAAAGTGCCTGCTCAATAACAGAAAGCTAATATCAGGAAATATCTATTGTATGTCCTCCAAAAAAAAGGGGTTGCCAGTTTACCTGTTTATTTTCCTAAATTGTGTGTCAAAAAAAAAATGAACTTGACAGTGTGAAACTTGATCTGAGTCTAAGCTGGAAGCTCTAATTTGTCATTGGTATGAATGAATCCTCATGGCCTGGTTGATGCTATGTGTTGCTTTATGAGACAAACCAGTAATTATTACAGTATCACTTTTTGCCCTACTTGTGTGTCAGTCCTGCAGTATTAGAACAAAAGGACCATCTCAGTGTATGAAAAGCACTGTCAAGTCTAGTCTATTACGTAACCTAGTGTCCCCTCTTGGAAGAAGACTTGCTTTTTTTTCTGTCCTTTTTTTTCTGTTTTTTCCTCAGAAATAGTTTTGCAGCATTTAAACAAAAAGTGTAACAGTTTTCCAGAGGATGAAATAGCTGTCATACACACCGTCTTTCTTTGTTGCTCCGTCACTCACTCTCTTTGACTGATATGCACATAAAAAAACATACATACACACGTCAAACAGGAATGTACACATTCAGACAAAATGTGCCACACTCTTTCTCTCTGTGCTTATGTCTTTGGGGAAAATGAAATCTCTCCCTTAGATTTTACTCAGGGTTGAAGAACAGGGAGACAGGATGTGGAGTGTGAGGATCGCTGATAAAGAGTTGTACAACTATTTGTGTTGATCGTGTACATTTGTGTGTGTATATGTATGTGTATGTATTTGTGTATGTTAGGGATTCTGCGGTATCTACAAATTACTTTTCAAGTCATGTTCTTGAGTGACGCACTTCTAAAAAAAAAAAAAAATCCAGTCTCATGTTGTGAAGCGGCAAAGCGTCATCTTTTTGCTTCATGCAAGCTGCGTTTGCATCACTTTTTCTAAAAGAATGTCCAAAACCCGTATTTTATAGGATTTTTTTTATGTAAACTAAATTCAAAGCAAGTAAGGAGTGATATTTCTATTTATACACTTGCTCTTGTCTTAAACGCACAAGACTCTTGATACAAACGACTCTTGAACACTGCAAAAATAAGCAACGGCCACGTATCACCTCGATTTTCGTAATTAAAAAGAAAAACAAGTTCTAAGAGACAGTTCATTTGAAGATTTACAATTGGAAGATATCTCTAATTTGTGTTTGACATGTTTTCTGACTTTTCATCATACTGAGAGACAGCCATGGTCAGGACAGCGCTGTCAGGAGCATTCATGCTACAATTTCACTTGAACCTCCTCTTAAACTGCCCCTCCTCTCACATCAGCACAACTACAGCCACACAAAGGACACTCCTTTATATCTAGTATGCACACACTGACAAATATAAACACACTCCGGCGTTCAAACACTTGGGCTTATCAACTAACCAAAACACACATTTTAACCTACACACGCAGACTGCAAAAATCTATCGGTATGTTCATGTTTTTGGAGAGGATGGTGACTGTAAAAAATAAAACAGTATGTAGAGTAGAAAAAGAAAAAATTCAAAAAAAGTAAGAAACATTTCAATAGTAGACAGCTGGTAGACATGCGCAGAGATGGCCTCTGTTCTCAGAAGTCCGCCTAAATGAATGGTATAACCTTTCAGGCCTTGTTTTGAGTGGGCGTGGCCAAACACACATTGCATGCTAGAATGATAGACCCTTATAGATTATCTATGGCTAGACCTCTCCTTGCCTTCCTCCTCTCTCGCCCCGTCTCCGTCTCCTCTCTCTCTCTCTCTCTCTCTCTCTCACATCCCCTGCTGTATTTCCCCCCTTTGCCTGCCGTTGTGTTCTCCATGCCTATCTCAGTCCTTCATTCCTCTTTTTTTGTAGCCTAGTTTTTACTTTGTTTGTTTTACAAACGTGCATGCACAAGCATCACTAAATTGTTGATGTTTTTAAAAGAATATTTTGTTGCTGAGGCCATGCAAAGTGTTTTGAATATTGCCCTTATATGTGGAAAATGTCTTCTGAATGCTTTACATAATTTCTGCTGTAAAATGAAATCAGAATAAAAAGAAAATTTGCACTTTAACTTACTTTTTTGCCAGATATTTGTTTCTCCTGTAGTCATAATCCATCTCCAATTATTGTCTGAAGTGTGCAATTTCTACATTTGTATTTCCTGCAAATACTTAATACAATATATTTCATGAAGTATTCTCTTGTTTGGTTTACAATGGCTTACAGCTTTTATTACTTCATGTTTAACAAGATGAAAAAGCATAAAGGTTTACGTTCAAACATCAAAGTGGACCTGTAAGAAGAGATTTACATTGAGATAGAAAATACAGTAGAGAGGCTGATCAACAGAGGGCCAAAGCTTCACCCTTTACTAAAAACAAAGATAGGGTCATTCATAAACAACAATGTATGCATTTCTACCATTTATTTATGTTGGTTATTCTGAAGTTATGACATGTTTCACAGGAAGTAGACTTTGAGTAATTACCATGATATAAATCAAATGTTCAAAATATGATAAAGCTAGTATTAAAAGTTAATTTAAAAAACATGCAAACAGAAATACAAAATAATTGTTTTGCCTTTAACTTTCACTTTAACATGTTAAATAAATAAAACCACTCTTTTTTATTTCCATATTGAATGTGCTATACAACATTGGAAGCAGGGTTTAACTCAGTCTTATATTTCTGATTTGGCAAGAAGCTTTTTCCCTAAGTTTGGTTTTATTATTTTAGTCTTGAATGCTTTTATCAGGCTGATATAAGAGTTGGTTCTTTGAACATGTAGAATTTGAGGATTTCTATGTAAATCATGGATGAAGATACCTCCAGTCTGAGCTCTTGTTTTGAAATATAATCGTAATGAATGAAGTGAGTAATGTACAGATTTTATTGGGTGTATGAACAATGTCTGATTGATTTCAAAGAAAGAATATGTAACTTTTTCATCCAGTAGATGTCAGCTCTCAAGGGAACAAGCGCAATCATTTTCTTTGATGAATTCAACGTACAAAAACAATACAAGGTTTCAAATTCAGAAAACAAGTATACAGTGTAAATTCAGTTTTGACTGGATGGTCTTTGGGGCTGTTGGGCGTTTCAGTCATTACATTTGTTTTAGATTTGTACATTTATTTTGCATCGTTTTAGAAAATGCTGCAATTGGCAGCTGCTCTACAAAGGCTGTGAGAGATGTTGAGATCAGTCTGGTTGAGATGGGTTGAGTTAAAGTGAAAAGGTCGTGTGTGTGTGTGTGTGTGTGTGTGTGTGTGTGTGTGTGTGTGAGAGAGAGAGAGAGAGAGAGAATTGGGAACATTATATGTTTTTGTTCTCAGAATCTACCATTGCTCACGCAGGAATAAGGGTTAGGCACAAATATGACTCCATATAATAAACTTAGCAGCTTTTAAAATAATTATTTTCCGATTCGTGTTAATTTTTAATGAAAATGTAAAAATCTGTGTATTCACACCATAAACAATAAGATTCACACTGGTGTTTCAGTAGTTTGCTCCATGGCTTGTTCCTGAGGCTTTCAATGTGTTCTCTTGCTTGCTTGTTGAATGAGTCAAAGTTTATGGAAACGACCCGGATGTTTCGTCCGTCTTCGGGCGTTTTAACCCTGATATTTAAAGTCTGTGTGGTTTTCTCGGGCTTCATGGAACATTTTAGTCGAGCTGGAATATTACTGGCATGTTGTACTTACGTCACTTTTAAACTCCTTTACCGTAAAAAGTGTGTTTACCTTTATTTACTCTGTGTGAAAAAACGATCCCAAATGTGATTTGATCAAATCTATCGGCGTTAGATATACTTGATAATGTCGTCTATCACGTTGTTTCTCCAGAAAGTCGTTATTACTGCTCAATCATTTCACAGTTTGCGTTTTTCTCATTTTTCTCCACTTCTGTCTTCTTCATCCCCGTTATTTACGGTAGTAACCGGAAATGACGTTTGATTCCAGGCGCAGCTGAGATGATATAAGGACGTGGTTGTTCCGGGGATAAGGGGATTTGCTGCCTCAAGCCAGGTCCTTTAAGAATAGATTTAATAATGTTTTAAACAGCAGCTGTACATGTTTTTATCCCAATGTGGCTTCAGTGAATAATATAATGAGAGCAGTGTGACTCGGCACTATAACAGCTCCTCCTGCTGCCCAGCTCTCCATCGACTGAAGAAACAATGCAGGCCTAGCTAACATCACCGCTAGCGAGCGGAGGCTAACCGACTAGCGCTGTTCCTGCAGACTGCAGTGGGATTTAAACCTTGGACGAAGACGTTTCGAAGCTGTAGAAACATCCTATCCGGTACGTCACACCTTTATCTGTATTGAGTGTTACCTTAAATGACATTTTAATCATCTAACCTAACTTTATTGTTGGAGATAAGCCGCTGATCATCTAACGCCATATTTTCGCAAAGTTAGCTTGTTAGCATAAGCGAGTTGGGTAATGTTGCCTTGTTGATCCTCTGTGGGTGGAGGCCAACAAATTAACTGCTTAACCTATACATGATATTTGAGGGTGAAATGACTACGTTTAAAAACAGTGGCGATCAGAGATGGACTATTTATGATATTAATGGTTCATCGTCAAGCTGTCAGCTCATATGTCTTGTTGCTGCACAGACACTTTCGAAACCCAAATCCACTTTCTTTTTCTCTTACTGGATAAAGCCTTCTCTTGATCTACGATACAAATTCAGGTATATTTGTATCCAATGTTTCACAGAAACACTCACTAAGCTGCTACAAGGCATTACTGACTAAGTGAGCATACGGCCTACATCTTTATCTGCTGACAGGTTTTTTGGTTTTGTATGAATTGACTTATAACAAAAATATCTTAAAATGTTTGTGAATACCTCTTATTTCAGTGACGCCATACCGATATCACCCAAACACACAACATGCTACTTGGCTTGCTTGTGATAGAACTGTGTCATATGTCCATCAAACTATATCAACTTTTTTTTGGACTTTTTACATGTTTATGATGTTTGTCATTTGGATTCAAGATCAAGTCAGTAATTTAGTGAATCATTCTAGCCGATTACTAAAACCCTGCAATGGATCCTTTCTTAATAACAGTTGTTAATGTTATGCCAGAAAGTCAAATACTACAAATGTAAAAAAAAAAAAACACACCTAGCAAATATTTTAAAAGATGCTATTTATCGGTCAGATGTCAACAAATTGAGCTGTTTCATAACTTCAGTTCCAAGTTGATCACTTGAAATCTTGTTTTGTTGATTTGGATAGAAGAGATTACAGGAAAGTTTAAAGTAAATAGCAGATAACTTGTGAAGATATGTTGTTTTGTTTGAAAACTGACTACAAGATGTTGAGATTAAACTGATTAAAGAAATTGCTGATTGACGTACATCATTGAAATTTACAGACTTCTTCCTCTAAACAGTCATTTTATGATCTGAAGTTTTCTGTTCTGTTGGGAGTGTCAGAGTTTTTTTCTTATTGTGTCTGCTCTTGCTGATTTAAAATTTGGAGATGAGCAGTCCATCAACATTGGCTGTAATATTTTATAATTTAGAAGAATTCTTTTTTTTGTGTTTGCTGTACCTCCGTCTGATTCTTAGTGATCTCTTTTCAGCCATGAGCTCCCAGCTGCAGGTCTTCTCTCCTCCCTCCATCTCCTCCAGTGCCTTTTGCCGCGTTAAGAAGCTGAAGGTGGAGAGCAATGTTTGGGACGTGTCGACCACCGAAGCTTACAGTTCCATAGCAGGGCAGTCGGCATACGCCTTTACCCCAGCCATGGCTGTGCCACCCTTTGCACCATCCCTGGTCTTCCCCCCTGCTGCACCTGGGTCCAGAGGCCAAGTGGTGGTCCGGGCAGCTGACAGCACCGGTAGTCTTCCCCGTGGATCCAGCCGGCGTGTCACTGAGCAGGCGACGTCTTCTTCTTATACTCATGCCGAGTCGTCATCTGAAACCAGGAGCCACAGGCACGGGCAGAAGAGAAAGGTCGAGGAGGCCAACGAAGGCAGTGGGAGTGGATGTGGCAGTGTGCAAATATTGGAGGAGCTTTCAGCTCCTGCAGCAACTTACTCCACCCGTACTGGTGGGGGAGGAGGGGGCACAGGCCAGTCTATACCCCACTCTGCTCCGACCACAAAAAGCAGCAGCTCCAATGGTGAAGGGGACTATCAGCTTGTGCAGCATGAAATCCTGTGCTCCGTGTCCTGCAGCTATGAAGTGCTGGAGTTTTTAGGAAGAGGCACGTTCGGACAAGTAGCCAAATGCTGGAAGAGGGGTACAAATGAAATTGTGGCTATCAAGATCCTGAAAAACCATCCTTCGTATGCTCGCCAGGGCCAGATAGAGGTAATCAAACATCATTTTTATTATAAGAACACTTGTATCAATCACCCCACTTTGATGCCTTACTTATTAATTCTACAGTGGTTTTTAATTTCACAATGTTGGTTTTGCAGAGAACGTCTGATCTTGCACTCCTGAAGTATAACCAAAGTGTTATTTGGCTACATGTGAGCTGTAGGCCATCGTAGGGCTGGGCAATATATCGAGTTTTTAAGATATATCGATAATATGGATATAGTTTATGTTGCATTAAAATAACGTTATAGAGGTGACAGTTCACCTTTTTGATGACTGACTGTCTGTCTGTCCCTCTTAACCCTGCTCCTCCTCTCTCTCTCTTTTATTGTATTTAAGGAACATTCTTATTTTATAATATTACTTTTTAAATTCATAAACAGGCAGTTTATTTTTCCATGTGTTTTCACTGTTAATAAAATACATATTGATATATATCGAGTATCGCAATTCAGCTAATCAATATCAAGATATGAGTTTTGGTCCATATCGCCCAGTCCTAGGTCATCGTGATGGTCATATTTGTCTCATATTGTCTCGTATTTGTACATTTGAAAAGAGTTGTTGAGGATCATTTTGTTTGTTCTTTATTCTGAATTTTTTTGACTTGTATGACTAAAAGCTGTAATCTAATAGAATTTAAATATGAAAAGTAGTCCCACTCAGTGTTTCCATTACCCTTAATTTGGAGTGGAGCCCAAAAATAGCTGTTGACAC